ATGAGAGATAACAAAACACAAGATTTATGAAGAACTACAAAAGTCAGAAAATAGTTACAAGTGTTTACCCATTATTCAACCGATAGCTGGGCATTGTCATTATTTTTTACCACTGTTTAACTGGTGACTGGGCATTAAGTCATTTTTCTCTGGTAAAGCAGTGGCTAGGGCTAAAAGGGTTAAGTTAAAACTTTACAAAAACATCTATTTAATCAGATCATCCTGGGTATGACGATAAACTACATCTGTGTCCTGGGTAAGACAAACTACGTCCAACAGCAAGGCCTCTGATCAGAAGGTTTTGAGGAGCATGAAACCACCTCTGGTGTTCCCTGACCCAGGGTGGTAGCACCTGTTAGGGTCCCAGCTATGGGCAAATAGTTAACACCCAAACTTGTGTAAAAATAGGTTTTAATACCAGAAATACTTTGTAATAAAAAATTATTACCAGCAATAATTTTTGAAGGAAAAATTATTATCAGCAATACTTTAAAAAAATACCAGCAATAAAATACATTCTTTGAAAAAAATATGACTAGCTATAGATTTCTTCAAGGAAAAATATTCCCAGAAATAAATTTTTGAAGAAAAACATTACCAGCAATAAAAATTTTGTCAGCATTAAATAACCCATTGAGGTTGATATGCCGTAAAACAAAATAAACCAAACTATTTCGTCAGAAACATATTTGATCCATTTGAATTTAGATATTCTCCCTATCGGTGATGTTCTTCTACTGCAGTCCTTTGATAAACATACATGAAATGAGTGTAAAGAAATGTCAACACACCTCTCCGAGCGACCTTTGTAGCACACCTTCTCCGAGTTGGTCCTTTAGACTTCACAAATAAATGGTATGTAATTTTTGACGGTAGATATAAAAATAGTTACAAGCGTTTACCCACTGTTCAACCGGTGGCTGGGCATTAAGTCATTTTTCTCTACCACTAGTAAAGTGGCGGTCAGGGGTCAAAAGGTTAAGATTTCATTGGGAAATCAATGCCCTGCGCTCAATGTGTGAGGTATGGATTAGAAATGTCAAAATCAAGAAATTAAACTATCTGTGATGTGTTTTAATCAACGGAAATCATAAAGCACATTGAAATGCTGAAAAATGTCTTCAAAAAATAAACACCATATTAAAAGAGAGAGAGAGAGAGAGAGAGAGAAAATTTATGCTAGAAAAACAATTAAGTGTGCAAAATTGCTACGTAACAATGAAAATAGTGTTGAACACTTATGAAATATGAATCCTCCTGCATGGTAGTGAATGTTGGATAATTTCCTCACAGATGAAGAGAAACGACAAAGCAGTGGGGGGAACACTGAGTAACCGACTTAACTAGTTTGAGTGAATGGCTGGCAATCAAAGACAATGAGGTGGATGGTATATAGGTCAAGACTTATTTAGAGCAATAAAAGACAATAAGGTATAGAACCTTGATTGCCCACATTCAGAAAGGACATGACACATGAAAAATTTTAGAAACAGATAATTTTTAGTTTTTTCCTTGCTTTTGTTTAAAAGATAAAAAGCACCACACTTATGCCTGAAAAAAATTCTCATTAAGAATAAGAAAGAATTAGACTGTTATAAAAATGTTTACTTTAGCAATACTTTACTATATATCTGTTATGGTCCAAGTTCCTTGCACCACGGTGATGGTCCAAGGTTAGAACCAATGAAAGAATAACACGAACACAGGTATGGAATACAAAGATATATTAAAACAGAAATATAATACAAAGAAGTAGAAGTATTAGTAATGACTATCAGATTTGGTTAGAGTGAAATATGTTGTCTCGACCAGTATCACTTCCAATGTCCTTACAATATGCTCTCAATTATCTCTCCTCGTCTTACAATCTCCCTCATACCTCTTGAGAGGCGCAGTATTTATAATGTCAGGAATAGTCCGTTATTATTATGGGTAAGTTCCCATAACGATATCATAACCCAATTTAATGACAGAAAAGACACAACTCCCCACCCCATATTAAGACATATAGAATTTACTTGGCAAAACAACTTTAAGAATAAAATGAATTAGACAAAAATATTTCCGCAATGAATGGATGAAACATTTGATGACTTGAAGATATTAGGATATTTGTCTTTTATATCTATATATAATCATTATTATATATAAAATTCTGTGACTACTGTTAGTCTGTCCATCACACACTCTAAAATAACAATACAGTGACCAATCGGGGGCGTAAATTTTCAGGAGAAGTGCAAATATGCAAGGGGATACAAAGTACAGTTGGTTTTATTAGAGTGCATAACTTAGTATAATAAATTTTCATTAATTCAAAAGTTTTATTCTTTAATATATAAAACACTCCCACTATTTTAAAAACAATTTAATGATTAAAATAGTTATTTAATAAAAATGCAATATTATTTATATATAGTTGGCCACTCATATTTGAGGACACCCAAATGGCAGCTAACCAATCCCAATTGTAGATACTTGCTCAAGTGCATTTGTGTTTATTCAACACCTACAGAGCCCACCTGTGGTTTATACTGTAACTATGCTGAGCAGACCTTAGCTTCAGTTTCTGGGAAAGAGCATGTTATCTAGCGTGATCAACAATTTGAACAAGGTCGGCACACCCAAGCCCTCGGCCACAATAACTTGTGACTTCAGCTATCGATGGCACCCAAGGCTTCTGTCTACCCAATTTCACTCACAAGGTTTGGGGAAACCTGTGGTATGGTATCCAGGCACTTTCCAAAGGTGCCGCATGCTAGGGTCTAGTCCTATAACATCAGGAAGTCTCCTTCCTGACAAATTGACTATGGTGAGATTCGAACCCAGGTCTCATGGTCAGAATGTGAACATTACAATGAGAGTCTCCCGTATTTGTGGGGGTTAGGGACCAGAACTGCCAATGAATAGTTAGAATCCACAAATAATTGTAAACACCCTAAAAGTGCTTATAAGTACGTATTTTGATTGTTAAAACCCCATATGCCTTAAACTTTCATCTTAAACACTTTAGAAACATTTCAGACCCTTTTTAAAACATTTTTGTAAAATTGTATTAGTCACCATACACTTAGCGTAAATTTTCTTTCATACATACAATAACCATTTTTAATTATACATAGATCGATACAACCAGTGAAAATACTGTATAAAATATGTGTAACAAGACAAAATATAAAGTTTAAAACATTTTATGAAAACAGAACTGTGATGATGTCCCCAGACTTAGCAGAAGCCACATTTAAGACCCCAGCCACAGTCCCTAACAAAGAACGAAGCCCAAGCAATACGCATGTTTTTGTGTTTGTTTTTTTACAATAAATATATACAATTCTGTCAATTTTTACCATAAAAAATGGACTGTTGTTTTAAGTCACTTATATAACAGGAAAATAATACAAGAATATTTCAAATATGTTCTAGCGAAAAAATATGTGAATCAAGGGAGTTCTCAGCGTATAATTTGTACATATGTTCTTCAGAAAAATATGCAAATATTCAGGGTTTCCGCAAATAACATGTACATATGTTCTAAAGAAAAATCTGTGAATGCTGAAATGTGAGTAAGTGTGAGCTGCTTTGTGTGTTTGTGTATATATATATTACTAGCATTTCAGCATTCACAGATTTAAAAAAAAAAAAAAATTCACCCTGAATCAAAAAGTAAACTGGAGAGAAGACAGGTTGCTATGTGCGGATTCTTTTGATGTTCTCCAGATTATGCACACCAAGTTTCCTGCTTCTTTCATTGTTTGATGGATTGGTGCATAGTGAAGGACACACCATGCTCCCCCCCTCTTTCAATAGGGTCTTTGGTTGATTGTACTGAGGTACTGGAAAGAGTTGTGAAGCCTTGGATAGACTCTGTTTGGAAGGCCATATGAGTTTCAGCAGGACACCTGCTCACACAGCTGTGGTAACCCAAGAATTAATGGCTGTCAATTTGTATGACCACATCACACCAAACATGTGGCCACCTGACTTGCTAGACCTAAATCCACTTCACTATGACATGTAGGGCATTGTTGAATGAAGGATTTAACCAATGTCCCCACAATATGACTGATTCCCTGAAAGTTGCCCTTACCTAAGTACTCTCCAGCATCAATACAGAGCATGTGATGCATGCATATCAACGATTCTGGTTGATATTGGAGCCATCATTTTGTTTGATGTCAGTTATATCAAATAAAAATGTAATCCAACTAGTACCTCATTTGTGTAACAAGTTTTGTATCAATAAATGTAGTTGTTTGTACGATGCGGTTGTTCTTACAATTTTCAATGTCTCCTGAAATACCTTACACACCCTGTATATTAATGATATATCTGGGTATGTATGTGTGTGTCCTGTCTTAATATACCAGTGGACTGAATATTTGAAATTTACAGAAAATAGAAACAAAAAAAACAAAAAAAAAAAACACTTATACTTAACATCAGAAAATTTCTAGAGTACATGAGGAAAGAGGACTTGGAAAATTTGACACTCACAGGATGTATTGAAAACAAAAGGGACAGAGGAAAACAAAACCTACCTGACAAGTTTGTGTAAATAGATTTCAGAACAGGGTTTAGATGACAAAAAGATAAAATTTACTAAGAGCTACAAAGAACAGGAAATTGTGGAGAGCCATCACCACCAACATCCTGAACGAATATGGCAAGTAGCAGAAAAAGTTTGCAGAAAATAATGATAATTCCACATTACAGAAATTTATTTTGTGTAAATTTTGTTAAGTTGTGAAGTTTTCCGTAAGAGAGTTGTGTTGATAAGTTATTTGCCCAACCAAGGAGGGATTGAAAAAAAAAAAAAAAAAAATTGTGGAAGTTGGTTAGGCTAAGAACTTTTCGCTTTTTTGTAAAATTTCAAAGAGTCATTAAATATTTTTGAAAGAAAAATGAAGAAAAGAAAAATTGAAATACAAGAGAAAATTTGTTCATTTTTTTAAATTTTATATAAGAATATTATTTATTATTTACAGAGGATATTAAAATTTTCACACCTTTGGGGCTCCAAAAGCATCTGGCATTCTTTCTATAGAATAACTGAAATTTAAAAAAAAAGCAAAAAAAAAAAGAGATTAATTTACATGACAATATATTAATTTTTCGACATTCTTTCAAATCTGTTTAATTTCTTAATGGCACATAATCTAAATATGACTGAAGGAAAAAAGTGCAAATATTCTTAAGTGGACAACTTTTTGATCAACTCTCATCAAAGAGGTTTGGTTTTGGTTTGTTTTACAGCATATCAACCTCAATGGGTTATTTAATGCCAACAATTTTTGTTGCTGGTAATTATTTTTTTTTTTCTAAAAATGTATTGTTGGTAATATTTTTTTCTTCAAAAATGTATTTCTGGTAAAATTTTGTCAAAAATTTAATTGCTGGTAATATTTTTTCCTTCAAAAATTCATCGTTGGTAATATTTTTACAAAAATGTATTGCTGGTATTAAAATCCATTTTTACACTTTCATAGTGTTTTGACCGCAGTTTGGGGGTTAACTATTTGCCCATAGCTGGGACCCTAACAAGTGCTACCAACGCCGGGTCAGGGTGGACCTGGGAACACTAGCAATTAAGAGGTGGTTCCATGCTCCTCAAAACCTCCTGATCAGAGGCCTTGCTGTTGGGTGTAGTTTATCATCTTACCCAGGACGACTCATCAAAGAGAATTGTTGGAGCCCAGTGAGCAACTGACAATTCCTTTAACGTTTAAAGGATAAGTTAAATTTCTGGATGGGCTACATATGTTAATATTTTTTTTTTTCTTTGGGGCAGGAGGATATCAAATGCTTTCCTCAACCCAACAAATTACAATGCCTGTCGTTCAAGCACGCAAGGGGTTACAATGAGTGAGAGCAAGAGTAAAGATGCATGTTTGAGGAAAGGATGAAGAGAAAGATGAGAAACTAGAGATCAAAGGCATTAGAAGATGTCGATTGACATTCAATGTCTTTACTTCATCATTCTCATGAGTAGGTGTTGCCGTAGGGTGGTGTTGTGTAGAAACCTACCACCCCTCTTGAAGATGAACTCGTCTACAAACAAGGACGTTAATGAGTGGCATGTAAAAAGACAGTGTCGGAGAAGTTCTGGGCTGAGTTAGTTATAGTTTGGCTGCTCTATTCCTCAACCATCACTCAACCGTGTCTATTGCACTCAGTAATCTGCTAGTAACTTCATCCGATTCAATGATTCTCTTTTATTCCTATATTTTATGTCCTTTCTCAACTTATATCTGTCACGTTTTATTTATAATTCTCATTTACTGAACTGGTGAATATTTCTGCTCCACTTGGCACAGGGATTGATCCCATAACTGGCAGAGAGGCAGGATTTTCATAAAGTAGATTTAGAGTGTGTGGAGGGGGTTGTGCTCAAATCTAATATATGTCCTTTTCTAATTAGGGGCTATTTTCTTGTATTCATATCTATAGCCAAACTATTCGTCTGGATGGGCCCAGCATTCATCTTTGAAGAATCAATGTATATTTTAATCAAAAATAAAATAGTAGATTAAAATAAAATAATAAATAAAATTATAATTAAAATAAAAAAATTAATAATAAAATAAAATTTAATAAAAGAATACTAGTATAATAGTAGTACGACAATCTCAAATTCAGATAAAAAATATTTAAAAATTCCCTCTACACAGAAATTTAAAAATCCTTTCTACATATAAAAACATTTACAGAAAGTAAATTGTCCAGTGTTCCTGGATTTTCATTTTAACAGATTATCAGATTTCAATAAAATTTTCAATGCTTCATGAATTTATGGAAAAAAAAAAAAAGTATTTTGTAACGAAAAGCCTGTGGAAATCATTTCTTAACTAAATTATTCCCATTTTTATTTCATATTCATATAAAAAAAATCATTTGGACAATAAAAATATTTAAATTTCTATTAAAATAATTTCTATAAAAATAAAATATAAATATCAAAACAAAAATTTATTTCAGAAAATTCAATTGAACAGTGAAAATATTGAGTGAACTTTAGTATTAAAAGAATGTTCATGGTACTTACTTCAAAATATTTAGTTAGGTGTACTGGTACCTCACCATACTGGTGGTTTGGTATAATTTAGTAATTTAAGAGGTTGCTTTATAGCACCAAAAAACCTTAAATAATGAAATTCAAATTCAAATTTCAACTCATCTAAAAACGGCTTTACATACTGTAATATACCCAAGTTTAAAAAAGGCATTGATATTTACAGAACTTAAAACGATTACCTAGTTACTTATTTCAGTGCATCATATTACTTACAATTATTGCCACATGATGCAAACAATAGTCAGTGCATTATTTAAACAAATTAGCCATAAATAATCAACATTCCCTTTTTTATAGTCATCTGTCACTTATATTATTGCCAATTGTTTTTACACTTATATACTTACCTGACTCTTGGCCAGGTAGTATCAAAATATTAGCTCAAGTCAAGGGGACCAACCCCACAGTCAGTACATCTCTTTTGAGAGGGGAGTCAATACCAAGCACCTGAGGTTGTCCCCAAAATACAAAAATGCTGAGGGCACATGAGCAATTTAACAGTTTCTGAAATCAGAGATTAAACTTGACCTTGTGCCAGTTTGTATAATGTGGCCGTACAAATAAATACTTATATAAGTAGCGAACTAATCGTTCTAAGTGATGCGGATAATCGAAATGTGTTGTGTTACAATAATATATAAACTGTACTCAATAAAGGGAGATAATTCTAATCCTAATTCTTCAATCACGTCTTTTCTTTGTAATAAAACATATTGCCGAAAGTAACAAAAGAAAGCTGAGGAGAACCATTATTACTGAGATCCTAATGGAGCAGAGAGAGACTGTATTTTGTTGACATGGTTGATGACCTTTTTTCTTTAATTTGTATTTAACCCCTACAATAGGGGTCGGCCACCTATGGGGCATGCCAAGCAATTTCCAACGTCATGCAGCTGCATATGAAATCACAAAGTCTGAACCAATAACAACTACAATGCAAAGAAAATATTTTGCTGTTTCAAAACTGCTCACTCGCTGGACTCCCATTAATAATAAAAACTTTAAAAAAAAAAAAATTTTAAAACCAGTTTATTTCTATTTGTGTGGTTTACATATTAGTATATATATATATTACTATATAAAATATATTGTAGAACAGGTATATTGACCTTGTATAAAAATACGTACGCTGTTGGCACGCTGAATGATTTTAAAACCCTAAGTTGGCACATAGCAAAAGATTGCCGACCCCTGCATTATAGCATTGAAGTTTCAAAGTACTTATATTTAGCTGTTTCCATTTTAATATATACTAAAATATATATACTATATATTACTTTATAAAATATATTGTAGAACATTATATTGACTTGTATAAAAATACATATGCTGTTGGCACCTTTGAATGATTTCAAAATCCTAAATTGGCACATTGTCAGCAAAAGGTTGCTGACCCCTGCCCTAAAATATGATCAATACATTTTCACATCAAACTATTTTACAGTGTTGAAAAAGCTAAAACAAATAATACTTACCCTTTCTTTCGCAAGAACATAATAGGGACACCAGGAATCTTACGGATGCGACGTTTAAGGTCCTTATCACATGTGCCAACAATGTAACATTTGTGCTGGAAGACAAAAAGGAAATTCAGAATAATTTTTTCATCTTGTGGCCATAGCAAACAAATACATCAGTAAATAACCTCTAACCCTTCATACAAAACTATGTAAGAGCATGAAACCAAAATAATTAATAATAAGAGAAAACTTAATAAAAGTTAAATAAAATTATCTTCAAATATAGATAAGAATGATAATTAAGAATAAAGAAAGAAAAAGTTAGATTATAAAGAAAATAGTTAAATAAACATAGAATACTCCCATGATGAACCAGAACAGGCGTTTTACTGCCAATTGAAACAAAAATCAAATTCTCTCTCTCTCTTCATTTTTGGTCACCTAAAGGAGCAGAAGTCCGGGGACAGTTCTCTGACAGAACTTGTGGCTACCAACAGATAAGCACAAACTTTTTATTTCAATATACATATATATTTTTTCTCAGAAATGTATGCTAAAGCATTTTATCATTTTTGTTTACTGATGGCTACCAACAGATAAGCACAAACTTTTTATTTCAATATACATATATACTTTTTCTCTGAAATGTATACTAAAGCATTTTATCATTTTTGTTTATGCTTATCATGTTCTTTTTTTTTTTTTTTAAATTGGTATCAGCTCAAGCAAGGCAGTACAGCGACTAAGACACAAGGTGTTACAGGGTGTGGAGGAATTAGGGACAGAAACATTAGTAATGAGCAGAAAGAGAAAAGAGTAATCAGGAGGACAGTAGATAGAGGCTGACATTGAATTTAAATTTTTATAGGTTAAAGGTGGCTGGAAAGCATGGTGCCAGAAGGGAGTTCCACAATCAAGAAGTGTGAGAAAAGAAACTCAGTCTAGGTAACATATCAAAACAGTTACCATGAAAGTAATTACAGGTGATGTCTTTAACCTCTTAACAAAATTAAATAAATATATTATTGTAATGGAATGTCCCACTCTCCCTATTGCTTATTGTGGACTAGCTATATCAATAAATATATATATATAGTGTGCACAGGATATACCGGAGACTTGCTTCAGGAATTAATAGTCTGCTAACAATTTTTTTTTTCTGAATCCTCATTCTTGTCATAAATTGCATTTTTATGCTTTAAAAATGCAATTTCTAGCAAAGATGATTAACAGAGGACAGAAAATGCCACGCCGAAATTGGAAGTGGCATTGGAAGAGCAAAAGCTATATATTATGAAATGAGGCAATTCCATTAGAAAAAAAGAAAAAAAAGAATGCTGAACAGCTACACAATACTGGTTCCCATCTATGTCACTGAATGCTGAACAATCTTCTTACAAATGAAGAAGAAAATTTAACCAACAGAAATGAGGTTCTACAGAAGGATGATAAGCATACCTTGGACAGAACATGTGAGTAATGAGTAAAAAGAAACAACAAAAATATATACTTAAAAATCAGAAAAGGACAGTTGGAGTTTCTTGGACACATCATGAGAAAAGATGGCTTGGAGAATATGCTCCTCACAGGAATAGAGAAAAACAGTAAAAATTCAACTTCTTGCATAAATGGAGGCAGAACAGGGAAACAGTCAAAAGACAAACTAGTGGGCAGAAATGGATGGCAGGACAGGGAGACAGTTAAAAATCAAGCTAAGAGGTACAAAGCTGTGGAATCCTGATATCTCTGGTTCTTAAGATGACTGCTATTATTTGCATTACACCCCCACCACCCCAACATATTGATAGCAAACAAACTGACCTGTGTAATGTGTTGTACAAGACAATCGTCAGCGTAAGTTCCTTTGTGAAGACAAGTGAGACGTTCAAATCGAGAATCTTTTATCACTCTGGAAGGTAAGATAAAACATTTTAAAAATCATTTAGCAAAACATAAACATTAAACAAAAATGGTAAAATGGTGTCCAATTTATCAGGCTTCAATTTGAGCAAAACAACAAGCCAATCAATGAACTTGTTAACAATCTGTTAACTGCTTTATTTTTTATTTATAGACTAATATCCTCATCTTTGTTGTTACTATCACAAAGGTTTCAGTCATTATAGACTAATATCTTTATCTTTGTTGTTATTATTACAAAGTTTTTGGCTATTGTATCTTCCAATTTTCTTCAGGTGTTTTGTTAATCCAGGTAAGCTGTCATAGAATTTCAAACAAAACCCTTTGTGCAATCTCAGGTCAAAACAGACTGTTCTCAGTCTTCTGTCCATGTCTACGGATATCTATTTGTGCTCTTCATAGTACAGTTCAGTTATTGCTTGTCCTGTTTCCCTAGTCTCTAAGCCTATACTATCTCAGCCTAGGGATTAAACAATTAATATCACCAAGTTCATAAACCATCTCTTGTATTGGCTCGTGGGACAATCCCCAGGGACAGGTAGAAAAATCAAACTCGTGGGAACACAGGGCAAGCAATAACTAAGCAGTACTAAAGAAGTAATTACGAGTTCAGTCCCTGGGTTACATAGTACAGGTTCAGACTAAAAAAAAAAAAAGAAGAAAAATGAGATATCCCTGGATATGAACAGCAGAACAAGAACAATTTACACCTGTAGATTAAATAAAGTGTTCATTTCATAATTTCCTGAAGGTTAACCAGTTTGACAGATACTTGAAGTTGGGCAGGGGATACAATCACCTGAAGTTTTGTGATAATAACAGCAAAGATGAAAACATTAATCCAGATGAGTTTTGTTTTGTTTTTTTTTTTAACTATAAGTGAAATACAGTAGTAGTAATAGTAGTATTATTGTGAAATTTTATTATTACATGAAGTACTGTCAATTTTTTTTCCTTGTATTTCTTTCATTTTACTTATAGTCTGTTAATAAATAATGCAGACCAAGAACAAAGAATAAATCTTAAGATGAAGAAATTATAAGACAAAAAAAAAAAAAAAAAAAAACTAAACAAAAATAATAATAATCTTACATATGATCAACAGTGCATGTGTGCGTCTTCAAGAAAGTCCTTCACTCCCACTGGTCTGATTTCAATGATTCATAGCTCATTCAAAAGCCCCAGAAAAGTTAGGCGCAAGGAATGATTTTCATTGAGCTCAGATTCAGGGTTGCCAGATTATGCAAGGTTGAAAAATATATATTAATATATTATACTAGCCATTATCGTTGCTTTCAGGGTTCAAGGGGGGGGGGACTCTTATTTTCCTTTTGCATCCAAAATTGAAGTGCACGTTTCATTATAAATTGGCTTAAAAGCCGCCCTATCAGTTGGCATTTAAGCTAGCTCTTCTAGAGGACACTTGGTTTGGCTATCATCACAATAGCTAGGGAGGAGTAGATGCGATAGGAATCAATAAACTACAGAAGAACTCAAAATTGATCGCTGCATTTAAGTCTTGAATCAATATTTAAGCTTACCTTTTAAAAGATCAATGGTAATTTTTCTGCTGCCACATAATTTAAAGACAATTTGATGTACGTAGATCCTTATTTTCTGTACAAACAATTATTTTTATTTCATGAGTGAAGCACAGGGGACAATTCATAAGATAAAATTAATATAGTGTGAAGATGGGAAAACAGAAACTACAATTACTTATGCATTCAACATTTAAAGAGAGAAACATAATAGCTAATTAAGTAAAACCTATATTATTGAATCTATACGAGTAAATGCAAGATTGGAGCACAATTGTGAATATGGCAATGAAGATGACGATAACAGTCCAAATAATGTAAATAATGTAAGGAAATAATGAATCTTTCAAAAAACAAAACAAAAAGAATCTTACTTGAGAGCTACTCTGTATTTGACTCCAAGTTTTTCCAATTCTCCCATGACACAGTCAGTCACATATGGAATGCCTGAAAGATGAAAAAAGAAAGTCAGTTTATCATTACAGACAATTTTATTTCCACGCTAGTAGCATCGGCTGTTCACAAAGACCTGACCATGAGAAGAACATTTGAATAATCTCTTGTTTATATTGATAATAATAAAAATGAAATCAGCAAACTTGGTAGCTTTTCACATTCAAATAGTTGGTTGGCTGCTTTTGTTTAGTGGCATATCAACTCTTACCAGTTATTTCATGAAAATTCAAACTTTATATTTAATTCAAGAGAACGACATTATTTCATGATCAAATTTAAAATTACTTGGCTGCATTTTTTTTTAAACCAAATAATCTTACAAAATCAAGTGAGTGAAAACTTGTTTATCCTAACAAGAAATGAGATATATATTTTTTTTTCTTTTGTTGATAATCTATGCAATGTCTTCAATTTTATTATAAAATGCATTGCTGGACATTTTACTATAAAAATGTATTGGTAATTTTTTTTAAATGTATTGTTGGTAATTTAAAAAAAAAAATGTATTGCTGGTATTTTTACCTTAAAATGTACTTTTATACTTTACTAATGTTTTAATTTTTGATTGGGCATTCACTATTTATCCATAGCTGGGACCCTAACAGGTGCTACCACCCTGGCTCTGGGTGGACCTGGGTACAACAGCAATTAAGAGGTGGTTCCACACTCCTCAAAATATCCAATCTCCTGATCAGGTCTTGCTGCCAGAAATAAGAAGCTTATCAACACACCCAGGACTACTCGTGTGTGTGTGTGTGTGTGTGTGGTGGTGGTGAGGGATTTCCACTGGAGCAGTGCAGTTGGTGCATTCTACAGCCCTAGCTGACAAGGCGATAATTTGGTGCAGTTTTAAGAATATCTAATTAAACAGGTTATTTTGACTTATTCAGATAATTCCATAAAAATTTTATCGGCTCTGTTTGATTAATTTGTAGTAATGTGAAATGTCAAACAACAACAATGGTTACTATGAATGCTACAGGAAATAGGATCATAACCTGTGTGATCAGTTCTAAAATAAGAATTCTTTAAAAATTTCCATATATTCTTAATTATTTATGTACACTTCTAAAAAAGTTATTTTTAGAATCCAAGATTATATTTACTGTTTTCTTTAAAATTTTTGATATTTTTTCTGCTAACTTACAACAGAATTTTGACAAGGCAGATATCATTTCTTCCAATACAAATATGAATTTTATTCTTTTTAAATTTTTTAAAATCTGAATTAAAAATAAATAGCACAAATTAAATATTTATTAAAATAGGTTTTTAAAAATTGTTATGCAAACTAAATGTTACATCTTATGTTGTAAACGTTACATGTTAAAAATATTTGTTTTATCCTGATGTAAGAAGAATGGGAACACAGACAAAATTTAGCCTTACACAAATTTATAAAAGATAAAGAAAATTAGCACATTTCCAGATTTTGCAATGAAAAATGTTTTTAAAGTCTTTATGAAACAATCTTCATTTCAAATTCTAGAATAAGCAGGTAGGGTTAAGCTTGATTGAAACGTGTTAATAATGGTAAGAAAACTTCTCAATTAACAATAAAAAGAAGAGGAAGAAAAGGAAAACAGAACAGGGGAAAATAATGTTGTTTGTTTAGTCAAGGTTTTTTAAGTAAAAATAGAGAGAAATTATTATATTTATTAAAGCAAACTTCATTCATAGTGTTTTTCAGCTTCACAGATCAATAAAATAAATATTTAAATTTAAGTCCTTCAACCTTCATTAAATGATTCAAGTCTTTAAAATAGTTAACTTTCATGACAAAACCTATCTTGTGCTTGTGTATCTCAGCATTATGAACAGAAGTTGCAACTTTTGTAGAATTTACAACAATTCTATACAAGCGATGTTCATAATTGTACAAATATATCAAGTCACAAGTGGTTTTAAATTCAATCAGGGCTGATGTAAGGGTCTCATGCCATCCACCAAATCTACGATAAAGCCACCACTATTACATTCCAACTTTCATAAGGCAGTATTCATATAAAATACAAATTTTATTAGAACCTATGTAGAATAATGGATCCTATGCAATATAGTTGAACAAATCAACTAGAAAAATTGAAAATAAATCCAATGTATCTAAACACAAATTAGAGATATGTCATAATAGATCATTCCATCTTAAATAAATCAACAATGTTTTGTGATAATTTTTAACATCATTTGGAGATTTTTCTTGTTAAAAAGTTGAATTCAATATTATGGATAAAAATAATGAATTTTATAGTGTTTGTCAAGGCATAGCATGAGCAAAACAAATTCACAGAGTTGGATGAAGAAAAAAAAAAAGAAACCTCAGAATGACGTCAAATTCTGCAAATTTTTTTTATCCTTTAATAATCAGTTATACTTGGTTTAATTTGTAATATAAGTGTAGGTATAAAAAAAAAGCAAATCTTGATATGATAACAAGGGTCACAAAATACAGCCAGAGACCCCCCCCAATTGGGCGTCATATACACCGGCCCTGAACCAAATGAATGCAGTTGATATTAAATATTACAATTTTATCCAACTGATATGTTTCATTAAACATTTGACAGCACAATGAAAATGGGGAGGTGCGATATGAAACTAAAAACGAAAGTTTTCCTCACCATCAAACTGAAGAATTGATGACACAATTGATCTTTGAAACATGTCCCCACATATCTGGGGGAGGGGGGGGGGGTTCTGTATATTTCTTTAACAATAAATTTTGTTGACAACAAATTTTCAATCTTATTAAACCATTCAGATCTTTTATAACAGCCAATAATTATTATGTTGGTATCACACACTGATGCAGTCAATGGAAATTCTGTTCTTGAACCTGGCATCAACAAGACTCCTGAAAACTTTTCAGCGAATCAAAGATCGCAGTCGGTTCATGACAATAGGATGAGGTGCAAGAAATGAATGAATTTTCTTAACAGAGTTATTTAAACCAGACAGCAAGATGAACCTATTACACTTACCAGGATTTATTGGCAGATATAATCATAACCTAAGCAAACACTTTGTTGATCAGAGACTCAGAGTGAAAATTGAAAATATTCTTAGAAAAGACAGTAAAGGAAAGAAATGACTATTAATTATACAAAAACAGAAATGTATACTTTTGTCAGCAATAGGTATTCTTATAAAATTAAAAAATATTTTTCAGCTTTAAATAACTCATAATGGTATTATGTACATTATTTACATTATTCGGACTATTGTCCACATCTTTGTCGCCATATTTATTACAACGTTTCGGCCCTCCAGTATCTGTCTATATTTCTGAGATGAGTTATTATGTACACTATTTACATTATTCGGACTATTGTCCTCATCTTTGTCGCCATATTTATTACAACGTTTCGGCCGTTGTACACTCAGACCTTCTTCAGGTGGTTGGAATGTTGAACTTAACCCTTTTATTTCACTCACTGGGGTAGACTGTTCTAGTTCCATGTGCCATTTTTTTTTTTTTTCAATTATCAGTCATCTCCTGTTAATTCCCCTCTCCAAGTTCTCCACTGCCTTAACCGGGTATTGAACTCACACTCTTTGGGTCCTGTCACTGGATTTAACCAACGAACTGAACACTTTATTTCACTCACTGGGATAGACTGTTCAAGTTCCATGTGCCATAACTGACATCCATTAAACATGGCACGTGGAACTAAAGCAGTCTACCCCAGTGAGCGAAATAAAGGGTTCAGTTCGACATTCCAACTACCTGAAGAAGGCTGGAGCATATACAAGCCGAAACGTTGTAATTAATATGGCGAGAAAGATGAGGACAATAGTCCGAATAATGTAAATAATGAACTCATAAAGACTTGATGATAACAATTTTCTGGATGTCTACAATTCCAATTCTCTCTAAGAACATTTTCACTTTTTTTTTTTTTTTTTTTTACACTCATTACCAGAGGAGTTAGTTCTACATTCAGGTTCCATAGATTCTTCAGATCCCTAGCCAGATCCTGGTATTGATTCTATCTTTTCAGTTTCTTTGACCTTCACTCTTGTCTCATGGAACATCAAAATCAATAATTTGACACTTGCTATTTTCCTTATCTATAACAATAAAAGGTCAGGTCTTCATACTCCATGATATGAACAGTCTGGACTGAGGAATCCCATATCGTGTGGACTCAATTTCTACCATTGGCTCTGACTGATGTTTATACCATTCAAACAGGTTAAGATCGTAATATTCGAGAGAGCATCCACGTGGGAGTATGTTCCACAAAGCAGCAGTTTTGGTTGTCACTGAAGCCAAAACTTATGGCATATTTCCCAATCCAATCATTGCTTTATTCATTTATTTATTTATATTTTTTATTATTATTTTCTCCCCTTCCCGCTCAGGTTTTGTTAAAATGTAAAAATTTTGCCACTTGTGTAAAATTCTGCTTAAATTCTATTAATAAATAAATAAGGTGACAGACTTAACTCAGAGGAAATTTTGGTCATCAGACTGCCAACCGAACAACAAAGAATACATGTTAATACCCTTGGGAAAGGTATGAATGTTTTTTCTTAAGGGGGGGTAATAATGATTTAGTGATACAAGTTTTACTAATTAACCCATAGCTTGGGGGGAGAAAGGGATGGATTCATACCTAATCAGAATTTGATAAACACAATATGTGGATATGAAGTGGGGAATCAGTTCTGTATTATAATCGATATATAAACTGACCCTTCACTTTGTGGACATGGTAGTTACTCTACACAGTATTTGAAAAGTTTCATTTGTGATTAAAGGAAAAAATTATTTGATCACCATAAAAAAGAAACTGAATATTTTACAAACAAAGAAATTGTACACTTATACATTTCATTCATGAGTCTCTGAAAAAAAAAAAAAAAAAAAAAATAAATTCTTAATTACAAACTAAAAACATTCTAAGCAAAAAACATTTTTTCTCAATAAGATGAAAACCAATTTTGTTCCTAGTCTTACTTACATTTAGCATAAAGACAGTCCATCAGACCAGTAATGATGTCCACTTTATTTTTAACAGAAAAGTGGATAAAATTGGTATCTAGTAGAATTCGATATGGTGGTCCAAGCTGTGTGTTGTAGGTGAAGAACAATGCAGATGATGTTTGGGGTCTGGAATTCAAAAAGAAAAAAACAAAACTTTGAATTTAAAGGAATGTCTTTTGACACCAAGGATTGATAATATTCAAACTGAGGCCTAGACTTATATAATTTCATTATTTACATCAATTACAGGCTGATTATTTTCTTTTAGTCGTTATCACAATGTTTTGGCCATTGTACACTCAGGCCTTCATCAGGTGTAAGTCAATCTGACAAGATATCCCTAGACATATGCAGTGGAATGAGAACAATCTAACTTCATAGAGTAAATAAAAGGTTTACTTTGAAATTTCATTTAGGTTACCCAGTTCAACATACACCAGATGAAGGTCAGATTCTGCAAAATCTGAAACATAACAACAAAGATGAGGACAATAGTCCACACTTAAATAATGATAATTCGTCATCCCAGAAATTCAAACAGAAATTATATGATTCAATTTATTTTTATAAGAGATTCTGAAAAGTGAGGTGTTAGCCAAGAACAAATATAGACATGCTGGTCCATCACACAATGGAATTAATTACATAATTGTAAATTATTGTGTCATCAAAACATCTTTGCCAATGTAGTAGAGACTTTGTAATCGCAGATACTAATTATAATACACCAATGGATAATACTTGTATCAGACGTCTTAGAATAGTACTCGTAGTAATAGTACTTCGTATAGTGAAAAGAGAATAGCAGTCTGAATAGTATAGGAGATAGAGGTGAAGTAACATATACCTCATACATCACGCGATGACTTCTATATAAGTTTTACATTAGTCGGACTATTGTCCTCATCTTTTGTCGCCATATTTGTCACAACGTTTTGACGTTATCGCTCCGGCCTTTATCAGGTGGTTGGAATTTCAAACTGAACCCTTTATTTCGATCACTGGGGTAGACTGTTCCTAATTCCACGTGCCATGTTTGATGGATGTCAGTTATCAGTTATCTCCTGCTAATTTTCCCTCTGAAAGTTCTCCACTGCCTTAACCAGGAATTGAACTCACCTTCTTTGGGTCTGTCACTGGATCTAACCAACGCCTTTATCCACTGTGCCATGTGTCCTTGAGGACAAATAAAGGGTTCAGTTGGAAATTCCAACCACCTGAAGAAGGCCGGAGCGTACAACGGCCGAAACGTTGTGACAAATATGGCGACAAAGATGAGGACAATAGTCCGACTTCTATATAAGTGTTTCCAATATGCTCAAGTGGATCTACCCAATGAACAATGAGATCACATGTATTTGCTCATCTGCGATCTATGCTCAAACACAAGTGTCTACAGTTTATTCCTATATAACAATTATGAAATAAAAAACAAAATAGAGGAATATGTCATAAGGCAAACACAGCTTTTTCTCTCGTGTGTGCATGATATACACAGGGTTAAACTGATGGATTTTCCGAGATGTGGAGCTTTGACTTTTTTTTTAATTTTTGCACAGTGTTGAGAGATCATTAGTAAACCAGTATTTCAGTGGTAAAGGTCAATCAGAGCTTCTATAACCAGAACCAGTCGAATAAACAAAAGTGAGTGAGTGATGTGCTTGAAATATATACGATAAAATATAACCTTATTGTACACTATATTCATGGGTACAAGTGCTCAATATCCTTAATAGACCATGTGTAAATATAAGCACAGTACAATAATGGATAGTGGCTTGGATTAAGGAATTGGAGAGCCGAGTCTGAATTCCAGTTGAGTTCCTTCATTCATTCACTTACATGGTGATACCTTTCCAAAAGGTATGAATTTTTTTTTGTTGGGGGGGGGCAGGGGAATAATAATGGTTTAGTGATATAAGTCTTATGTAAATCTTAAGTAATCCATAGCTTGGGGGAAGAAGAAATGGATTCATACTTAATCTGAATTTGGTAAACACAAAATTATAATGTGGATATAAACTGGGGGATTAATTCTATATTACAATCAATATATAAACTGATCCTCCACTTTGTGGCCACGGTACTTTCTATACATTTATATTCCAGGGAATGCAAATAAATCTAAATGACATGCCTGTGTAGCTAATCAGCATTTCATTGATTGATTGATTCATTTTCTACAGCTTATCAACAATCAAGAAATTATAATGTGGATATTAAGTGGGGGATCAATTCTACATTACACCAAATACATAAACTGATCCCTCACTTTATGGCCACTGTAGTTTCTATACATTTATATCCAAGAGAAGGTAAGTAAATCTAAAAGTCATGCCTGTGCAGCTAATCAGTATTTCATTGATTCATTTCCAACAGCTTATCAATAAACAAGAAATTATAATGTGGATATAAAGTGGGGAATCAATTCCATATTGAAATCTGTATAAACTGATCCTTCACTTTGTGGCCACGGTAGTTTCTATATATTTATAATCCAGAGAATGCAAATAAATCTAAAAGATATACCTGTGTAGCTAATCACTATTTCATTTGTTTTCTATGGCTTATCAACCCTTTGCAGGTTATTTAAAGCCAGAAAATATTTTTAGATTGTAAGAGTTTTTTTTTTTTTTTTTAAAGATAATTGTTTAGTGATACAAGTCATACTAATTAAGTGTAAATGAATATAATAAATCCAAAGGTAACTGTAACTCAGTTCTCCGATTGACAATTCCAAACCATTATCTATTTACACCACCTGCACATCCAAGCTTACAATACCTGGTATTCTCAAGCGGTTACCCATCTAGGTACTGACCAGGCTTAATATTGCTTAACTTTGGTGATCATATGGGAACTGGTGTTTCATTGTGATGTGGCTGTAAGCCTTCAAAGGCTAAGAGATTTGTCTTTAACATTTAAAAAAATGAAAGAATTTGTTTGTTTTTTTTACTTACGCATCACGTATTGTAATTTTACTTTTGTCTATTTTCTTTGGCTTCTTTTGACGTTGTTCGTGCTTTCTGAAAAAAAAAAAAACAAGGGGAGATAACTTGAAAATATCAAATATTAAAATGGAGATTTTTTTTTCTCTTTTGTCTAGGGGAGGGGGAGCTGCATAGAAAAAGAAATGAATATAAAAAACAACAAATACAAGAAAGTAAAACAATTTGAAGATGCAACAGTCATTTTTTAAATTAAGTCAGTTTTTTTTTAGTGGCATATCAACACCTTATGGGTCATTTAATCATGAAATTGAATTTTCTTTGAAAAATGAGTAATTTCCTTAACAAATGTATTGCTGGTAACATTTTGTTTTTTCTTACTAAAATCTATTACTGGTAATATTTTTTACTATGAAAATTTATTGCTGGTATTTTTTGAGACAAATGGAAGCAGCATAACAACTGCTAATGGATCATTTAATGCCAAAATTTAATTTTCTTGCGAGCAAGAGTAATTTCTTTTACAAAATTGTATTGCTGGTATTATTTTGTTTTTTGTGTTGTTAATTTTTTTTTCCAAAAAAATGTATTGCTGGTATTTTTATACTTTCATAGTATTTTGACCCCAGTTTGTTGGTAACTATTTGCTCGTTGCTGGGACCCTAACAGGTGCTACCACCACAGGTCAAGGTAGAAGAGAACAACGGCCATTAAGTGGTGGTTCCATGCTCCTCAAAACCTGCAGATCAGAGGCCTTGCTGCCAAATGTAGTTTATCATCATACCCAGGACAGTTGTAAAACTGAGAGAGAGGGAAAATTTAAAGTATTATGATATTATTTAGTATATTACTATATTCGATTGAGGGTAGGCATACTAAACTGACAAGTCACTCCAAGTTAGTTATCAACCAATGATGAGAGTGACAAACTAAACTTGTTGCTAATAATTTTAAATTCATTGTCGTTCCTACAAAATACAAAAAAATAAAAAATTGGAATATTATATTCAGGGGGAATATTTTACTGCAGAAAGAGTTATCTGTTTCCTTACAATTTCTAAGCCAGGGGTCAGCAATCTACAGTATGTAATTTTTAATAGCACACAGTCGCAAATGACATCACAAAGTCCGAACCAATAACTACTACAACGCAAAGAAGATATTTAGTAGTTTCAATTTTAATATATACTAAAGTATATATACTATATCTTACTATATGAAATATATTGTAGAACAGGTATATTGACCATGACTTGTATAAAAATACATATGCTGTTGGCACACTGAATGATTTTAAAGCCCTAAGTTGGCACATAATTAGCAAAAGGTTACCAAACCCTGCTTTATAACATTGAGGTTTCAAAGTACTTATATTTAGCTGTTTTAATTTTAATATATACTAAAGTATATATACTATATATTACTATATAAAATATATTGTAGAACAGGTATATTGACTTTGATGTGTATAAAAATATGTATGCTGTTTGCACACTGAATGATTTTAAAACCCTCAATTGGCACATAGCAAAAGGTTGCCAACCCCAGTTCTAAGGAATGGTTGTCTTGGAAATATTTATACAAACTGATGACATTAACTGATTTGATACTAAAAAGTCACTCATCATGGTTGTTAAATAGGTTACAAAATATATACAAACATTTATGGCAAAAACACTGATAAATATTAACAGAAATAATATATTTCCATTAAAATTTTAGGAGCCATTGTTCCACTAGTGGAACATATTTTGAGACATTTTTAAAATTTTAAAATACCAGATGAGCATTAATTTTTTTTGGCTAACTTGAATCTTTACGCCCACAAAAAAGTGGAGTGTCATAAAGAACAATCAAATAAATGGTGTTTAATATTTTTCTCATAAATTATCAAGAACAAAAAAAAAAAAAAAAAAATGTATAAATTCACTTTTATCATTTGTTTAAGTTTTATTCCAATTCTAATCATCACTTTTTAAAACAAATATTGCCAAGAAATGAAGGAAGTTAAAATAAGAATATTGTCTTTTTTTTGCAGGCACAAAAGTTACCAATTTATTTTTTATTATTTGATTAGTAATATGCACAACAATACATAAAATATAATAGATGACTACATATGTTAAAATACAGCTAATGCTTGTCTGGCATAAAAAAAAATATTTTAAAATATGTTCCACTAGTGCTAAAAGGTAAAAAAAAAAAAAAAAAAAAAAATATAATTTTGTTTTTTAATGTACACTTTCAAGAAACATAAAAATAAAATCTCATTGTAACATTTATGAAAGCGGAAATTGTTTTCTTTTAATTTCACCCTAAGTAAGGCAATAAAGCCACTAAGACACAAGGAGTTACTAAGTGTAAGAGAATATGAGAAAAATATTATGCAGAGATAACAGAAATTAAATTGCCATAGTTTTTCTAAAAACAGTACCTGACTTTGAAAAAAAAAACAGTACCTGACTTTAAAAAAAAAAAGAAAAAAAAAAAAACAGTACCTGACTTTAAAAAAAAATGAAAAAAAAAAAAAACAGTACCTGACTTTAAAAAAATCAGTACCTGGCTTTTGAAAAAAAAAAAAAAAAAAAAAAAACAGTAACTGACCTTAAAAAAACAAACAAAAAAAAAGGTACCTAAATTTTATATAGATTAAAGTAGTATCAAATAGGGTTTGCCTGTGTTAGAAATTTAGCCAGTAACAAATATGTCTCAATTAACTTGGCAAGTATTCAGATGCTTTCTATTCTTCAATCCCACCAGTTCAGATCTTTACAGCTAGGACCCCCCCACTACATGCTACCTTCACAGAGTCAAATCACCCTCATTTCCTCTGTGTTCCAAATGTAAGAAGAAAGTTACTCATCTTTTTCCTACCAAGAAATGCTACATCATGGAACACGTGGATGCTTCCCTAAACACTACAACCATAACATGTTCAAGTCAAGAGTCAATTGTTATCTATCCTCCTTATCCTCATAATCTTCACTTCCTAACCACCTCCTCTTTCATTCATAACACAAACCTCACTCATCATAATTCTCTTGAGCCTTGTATTGGGTTGGTTGGTTGATTTTGTTAAGCAGCGTGTCAACCTCAACAAATTATTTAATGCCGAAATGTTAATATTTTTGCAAACAAAAATAAAAAATATTTATTTATAAAAATAATAAACAAAAAAATAAAAATATTTTATGCCTTCAACTACAAATGTTTTGTATATTATTTTATACTTTCAGAATAAATGTATTTTTTTGTTTTTAGATATATGCTATGTAGATAAAATGTATTGCTGGTAATTTTTTTAATGGCATTGCAGGTAATTTCACTACAAAAATGTATTGTCGGTAATTTTATTATGAAAATGTAGTTGGTAGGGGTCACTATTTACCCATAGCTGGGACCCTTAAAGGTACTACCACTCCAGGTCAGGGTGGATCTGGGAATAACAACAGTCAAGAAGGTGTTTTCATGAGCCTCAGAACTGCCTATCTCCTGATCAGAGGCCTTGCTGCCGGATGTAGTTTATCATCATACCCAGGACAGTCTTGTATTCGGTGAACTTTAGTGAATAGAAAAATTTATTTTTTATCATTAGAAAGAAAAAAAGTTTTAAAACTTACATGCGGGCATCTTTAAGACTTATCATTCGTTTCATAGATGCAAACTTTTTATTGCTACTGTTCTTGGATTTGGTCTTTGCCTGAAATCAGAAAGAATTTTTATTTTGTTTATAACAATCTCATAGTTTAAAGTTATGTTTCCCAAACCACATGCAGCAGCATGTTCCAAGATGAAATTCCTGTGAGTTTGTTGGGTTGGTCTCCAATTCTGCTTGTTAGAGGAGCTTGGAATGAAAGAATTTAATTGGGCATGACAGCTCAAAGATCTTGGGTAGGTACCTCCACAAAAATTGCAATACCTAAGGTTTAAATTCATTTTTAAAAATGAAAAAGCTTTCTTGAAATTTTAATTGAAAGCTAAAGGATTAAATTTATTATTTCCAGTAAGCAAAATACTCTGGTGTATTTTGAACAGAAATTATATTGATTGGAATTGATTTTCATTTTTTTTCAGTAATATCATCAATCATCCATTTATTTTTTTAGACATTTGTAAACACAAGTTAGTTTTCAGATTTAATATATATATATATATATATATATATATATATATACTTTTCTGAAACTTTGAGGAATATTAGCTGATTTAAAATATAATTAATCTGATTTGAAACAAATATTATTTACTTCAAGTTTAAATATCATAGAAATGAATTGTTTAATCACTAACTAGCTATGTTTTTAACTGACAGTATTTAATGAGGCGATGAAAGATCTGATATTGTTATATGAAGACTATCTGTAAAACATAATTTAAGAAAATGATGTATCTTTTTTATAATTTTTAAGCACACAGTAATATTAAAAATTTAGGAAAATATTCTCCATAATCTGATGTATAATTGAATTTTAGAAATTTTGGTTTTAAATTTAATATAAATAAGAGTGATAACCACTTTTATTTTCTGATAATGTCAGGTATGGTCAACTGTACTTATAAAAATCAGCACATTGATACACTAATAAAAAAAATTCAAAATTCTTATAAAAATCTTGGTGTGTGAAACACTTAATATAATCTAAAAGGCTGAAATTAATACAGAATTTTAAAAGATTTAAACTTTATAAATTATTATAATTAAAAATTTTAAAAAATTAAAACAATTCTTGTAAAAAATCTTTTCATAAGACAATAATGTCCTTAATATATTTTTTAAAAGCCATTAAAAGGCTTTTCTAATTAAATAAATGTCAGTTTTATTAAATTTATTATTTTAAAATTTGGAGCAGATTTTTGGTAAATGAGTAACAGTTTGAAATAAAAAAAAATTGATAACTTCCATTCTCTAAGGAGTCCTGCTTTTAATAAGTATAAAAAATATTCAGATCAAAATTTAATTTCTTGAAATTTCATAAAATAAAGTGTGGAGTAACAGTTGTAAAAAATATATATTTTTAGCAAGATTTTCTAAAAAGAATATTTTGAAAATAATTTAATTAATTTGTGAATAAGTCTTGAAAATCTCATTAAAATCTGACAATTATTTGATTTTTGCAAGAATTTCAAAAACAATGTTTTCTACTGCAACAAAGACATTAAATTTACCATAATCTTTTGCCCACAGCTGACAAAAAAATAATTTTTAACCTAAATTTCAAAGGTGCTACAAACAATTAAAAAATTAATAAGAAAATATTTTGGTCTTTCCTCTTAATAATAAATATTTTGATGATAAAACTTTGTTTTCATCAATTTTGGGGGCTTTTTCATCATGCTATGCTCTTTTTTAGCAAAAAAGAGGAGGTACCTACTTTGGGGAGCAACATTTTCATCTGGCTCTGATCAGTTTTCAACCAAAATATTTCAATGTGGAACAATTGTGGGGGTAGAGGATTTTGCTGGCAAGATGAAGGAAATCAACCCCCATAAAAGATGAACCATTTTGCCAGTTAGTGGCTCTCTACTCTAGTCAGCATTACAAGGAATGAACACTATCTAATACTCCCTGCTTTCACCATTTTTCCACATTCTACTAGCAGCTGTCCTATCTTGATACTGAAACATATGAAGAAACTAAAATTTCTTTAAATGTTTTTTATCATGTGATTTTTTTGACAACCGGGTCACTTTTTCTGCACCAGCCTCACAGCAATCACCTGAGAAGTGGCATCTAAAACCCAACCAGTTTCTTGTCCAAGATGCAACACAAGATTAGGTACATCACAAAAGAATATGATTTATTTCAAAATGCAAAATATATAAACTGAAATTCCTAATTCTTAGTAAAATTGCAGATTAGGACCCAGAAATCAATTTAAAAAATAAGCGTAAAATAGCCTGAATAATCCAAAAATAGTATTAAAAATTTGCAGAAACCTACCACTTAGGAAATATCGATAATCCTAGTTGGGTCTTATTTGCGTGCTGGCCTCAATTGATGCCCACAAGTTAGGCCTTGTTTACTGCATGCTGGCATCGAGGAAATTGCAGATTTATTAAAACAATTGTAGCATCAAAGGACTTTTGTGGGGAATACTTACCTTAAATCAAAACTCTTAATTTAAAAAAAAAAATGTAATTTCTTGTAACATGAGGTGAGGTGATATTTATTAACAGCTAACAGCAGTGAGAACTAACTCATGTTTTTAATCAAATCCTAGAGTGGTACAGTACACCTTATTGAATAGTAGTGATTTTCCAAGCGTAGCTTAGATGTAGCACAAGGCAGAAAGTATGGGGCACCCAGTGAGGATCGAACTCACTACTCATTAGTAATTGTGCTAGCGAGACAAGCTTGCTAACCATTACACCGCCTCGGGGTGCCCAACCTTATTGAATAGTATAGAAAATTATTTTCTTACAAGTTCTCAGAGATAAATTGAAAATATCAAAATTATTCTGTTTTAGTTAAAATTTTTCAGTGACTTTGACGTTTACCTTTTTTAATGTTATCTACCTTTGTACATGACTGAAAAATCATATTTAAAGGGGTAGGTGGAATTTAAAAAAAGGTTTTCTCTAAATTTTTGAAAAGGGTCATCTGATTCTGCTTTAACCCTTAATTCCACCCCCACCCACCATTGTTTCAGTTTTCAATTAGAAACATCTACAGCTTGCTCATTCTCCAGCCTTCTTCAGGTGTCTGTCGTTGTACCCAGTAACCTTTTTCGAATTTCTAAGTGAACCATTTATCAATCTACGATGGTAGCAAACATTCATTTTTTATTTTTTTTAATCATATTTTTAGTGGGAACATATTTTTGTTATCTTTTTAATGAAAATTCATACGTAGATATTAATTACATTTTTTACTCCTACAATTACACACGTAGAAAAATAAAATTATTAATTCTTCTTTAAACCCAAAATTCATATTTAAACACTAAAAAAACGTATCCCATTTAATTTAAAGAAACAATGTGTTGTTGAGTCTTTCATGTTGTTTACTTGGCAGGACTCCTCAAATCACGAGATATGCCCAGAAAGTAATTCCGAGTTGATATACAGAAAAAGATAAACAATAAGAAGGAAATGTCCATGATTAAAAAAAAAAAAAAAATAAACAAAGATGAAAACCTTAAGATTTACTCCAAGACACTTGATTTTTTTTTTTTATTCAACGATATTTCCATCCAACCACATGGCCACGATAAAGAATGTGTGGTAAAAATATCGCTTAAAATTTGATTTAAAGGAATAAATACAAACTAAAACGATTACTAGGCAATATTTTTTTCTTAAAAGAATTATTTACTTTACAACCGCTTAAATAATTTGTAAATAAAATAAAAATATTAAATAAATACAAACTTACCATGATGGAAAACGTTTTAAAATATATACGTTCACGTTTTAATTGAAGAGCTCATTTCCAAGGGCGATAATTCGTAAAAGCTATTTTCGGGGCGAGGGAAGAATTTTCAATTTTTCTACCTTTCTTTTCTTTTTATGTGCCGTATCCCTTCAGAACATAGACGATCATGGCTCTCCACTTCTTCCCTATCCATTGTAGCTTACAATAAGTTTTTTTTTATCTCTTTGCTACTTCCACCAGGCCATGTTCTATCATCCACTTGCTTAAACCCGCTATGTATGTCATGCGTTGCATTCCCTTCTCTTTCCCTCTATTCGACCTGTGAGTATCAGATTCTCCAAGCCCTCCTTTCTCATTACGTGTCCCAGAAATTTCAGTTGTCTCTTCCTGGTGTTAAGTATAAGCTTCCTCCTTGTTTGCATCCTTTCCAAAACATCTAGACTCTAGAGAACAACGTTTTTCCTTCCTCTTCCTCTCTTGTCGAACTCTTTGCCTCTGGGCCGAGAGGAACCCAGACGAGGATATGCCGAAGGGCAGAGTCACATTTGGGGAGGTAGACAAACCCGACCCCGTGTATACCAGGTCTACGGGCTATTTTTGCTCGAGCCTACGAGCTTGGAACGCCCCACGTTAAAATTGGCCTTGTGCCACATCTTGCCCTGTGAGGAGGTTGGTAAATAGAGACGGCCTAGTCGCAAAATAATGAAAGCTGTTCTGTAACTTCAGTTTAAACAAAACATGTTAATGGATCTAAGAAGGATGCGTGAATATTTAAGATTGTGCTGCAAATAAAATATGCAATATCCACAAACATAAATTATAAGAAATGGCCAAATGGTAACGATATTCAATCACGACAAAAAATACATGTTTGAAACAACAGATTAAATTTTATGTACACAATTTACAATTTCTTTGTAATGATGTGCGCAAAGGTATAGAGGAAAAGTTCTTTGGTGTTTCAGAAATGTTCAATGCCTAAAAAGTTGTCTGGGTTGAAAAAAAGGTTGAATTTAACTTAGACAAAATATTTTTCTATGAAAGATATTAAGTGAAAAAGTTTGTTGTATGAATTTTTTCAATCTCTCATAAAGAAAATTTGTTTCTTTGGCGGCAATTTTGATATATAATTCCCGTGTGTATCGTTCGCATGTGTGAGTCTCAAAATGCGACGAAAATTCGTTTGCTGTTTCTATTTATAGTTTCTTTAAAACAAAATCGGCTCCAGCGGCTTGGTAGCTTGTTGCGAATTTTTCTGAGAAATGCGTGGGTGAATGTTGTATCTTTTATTTTTTTTTTTAGGATTTCTTGAAACATTTAAATTAGACTAGCCAATTCTTGCCCCAATTAACAACCGATTGGAGGTCCATTTCAAGACGCACGGCACGGTTAGTTTTGTCACCGACACTAGATTTGTTTTTGAGGCAGGAGTAAATTGTAGTGTCGTCCGCGTAGATGACAACTTGGGAATCTATGGCGTCAGGATGGTCGTTGATGAAAATAAGGAATAGAGTGGGGCCAAGGATAGAGCCTTGGAGAACACCTGCATTCGTGTGATAGGAACTGGAGGAGAATCCGTTGAGAACGACCTTCAATTCATGGTTTTCTCACCCACACATTGAACAATACATACACATACGTACGCACATTCACTCACTACTACATTCATTTCTTACACACACATGATTACTTGTAAACCTTTGTTAATACATATTCATTTGTTTGTACATATATATCGCTTCTTGTTGTTTCTTTTTATTTCTTTTAGGTGGACTCACACTCCGAGTCCGCCATATTTGTTGTGGGCATTTCAGGAGACACGCGTGTGTAGTAGATTTAGGAAAACTGCGTGAATATTTGAAATTGTGCTGCAAATAAAATATGCAATATCCACAAACATAAATTATAAGAAATGACCAAATGGTAACGATATTCAATCACGACAAAAATACATGTTTGAAGCAACAGATTAAATTTTATATACACAATTTACAATTTCCTTGTTTGTAATGATGTGTACAAAGCAGCAAAATTATATTTAAGAGAAAAAGTTCTTTGCTGTCTCGGAAATGTTCAATGTCGAAGAAGGTTGTCTGCCTTTGATTGAAAAGGTTGAATTTAACTTAGACAAAAGTTTTTTTTCTATGAAAGATATTGAGTGAAAAAGTTTGTTGTGTAAAATTTTCTAATCTCTCATAAAGGAAGTTTGTTCTTCGGCATCTCTCAGAAGCATAATTCCCGTGTATATCTTTTGCGCGGGGCTTGGTAGCTGTTGCGAATTTTTCTGAGAAATGCGTGGGCGAATGTTGTATTTTTTAGCCAATAGGATTTCTTGAAACATTTAAATTAGGGATGAATTTGAGCCTACTTTTTTTTTTTTTAAAATTTGATTGTTTTGTTATGGAAATTATCTCGAAGCTTATCTTTTATTTAACAACCAATGAAATTCAAGAAAATGTTTGAAACTGAAATGAGGGTTACTAAACGTGCTTATCTCAGGCCCACGACATTTTGAAACATTATTCGGATCTGTTCCTTTTTCTTAACAGTCAGGTTCATTATCTACAAGGCCCGAGGACCACTCGAAATTGAGCATTAAAGGGTAGTTTATATGTATAGGAGGGGACGATAACGATTAATTCTAGACTTGAACAGGTTAAGATTGTAGTAATCGGGGAAACATCCTCTTGGGAGACTGTTCCACGGAACTTTCAGTTTACACAGTAAGTAAGTTGTAAACTTTGTGATGAGCCCAAATGTAAAAAAAAAAAATTATATTATATTATGGTGGACTCTCCCGTCGTATTCAACGTATGAGGATCAAGCAGCTCAGTTCCTAGGAACCGACAGCCCACCACATATACTGTACTGTACTGATGCGGCATTCACTCTGGGGGGATTGAGCCGGCTCCTTCCTGTTATGAGAAGAAGATTCTTGGGATAAATTACAGAAGTAGGGTACACAGGCCTACTCGGATAACGTTCTTGCTTGCCGCGGGGTTCCCACAGACGCAGAGACAGGAACGACCAGAAGCCGCCGGTTACCGATGCAGACTCCTTACCACATATAGTGGTGAAGGCTTTGTGCAGAACCAACCAGACTTTTTGAAGGGCCGAATACTACGTGCCACAAGGTCCCTAAACGACCCTCCGAAGGTTTTGAATTCAGAGTTGGCCTTCTACTAGACCAGTTGCCACCAAAGAACCCAGTCTGTTCTGCTATTTAACCCATAGCTGGAGGGAGGGTAGAAGTACCCTTTCTTAAGGGTACTATATGTATATCTGGCCATTCGTATTCAAAGATACCCGTCTACTAGGACGCTTGTTCAATACCCTCAGACTCCACCCGTGGTTTATACTGCAACTATGCTGAGCAGACCTTAGTTACAGTTTCTGGGAACGAGCGTCTTATCTAGCGTGATCAACGATTTGAACAAGGCCATAACGCTCATGCTCTCAGTCACTTGTGACATCGTGCTAGCAGACGGCTATCGAGGGTTTCAGTCTACCCGTGGTACGGTTTTCAGGCACTTTCCAAAGGCGCCGAACAATAGGATCGACTCTCTCTTCCTGACAAATCGACCATGGTGAGATTCGAACCCGGGCCTCATAGTCAGAATGCGAACGTTCTAACCACTCGGCCACGGCAGGTAAGTGAGTGTAATGGATTCAACTGGAATTCGATAGATAAAAAATCTTTACACCTGAGACTCTTTGAAATTTTGGACTTTTATTTTTTAATCAAACCCCCCGCCCCACCCCAAGCAAGACAATAACACCACCAAGACACAAGGCACTACTGGAAGAGAAGGAAAAAAATCTTAATGGGCCGGAAACATAATATTAGTATAAATTTCAGAGTTTAGACAGAGTGGTTAAACGTATATAGAGTTGAAGTAGAATTTAGAAGGAACTGGAAACCCAATCCTAATAACAGGATTTCAGATTTAACAGACATCTCATGAATATTTTGTTTTAGTTCCTTGTATTAGCCATTAACTTATTAGTTCTGGCAGAAACTGCCATTTCCACCATTGATAGTTAAAGGGTTAATAAAATATTGTAAATTAATTTTGGTGCATATATTTTAATATATATATATATATAAATAAAATGGACTCTCAGGTTGTTTTTGACGTATGAGTGTCAAGCAACTCAGTTCCTAGAAACTGACAACCAGACTACCTGCACAAATCATTTGATTCTAGTGGTGAAGGCTTTGTACAAAACCAAGCACACTTTATGAAAAGCCGAATACAGAGACCTGGTTCACTCTGAACCATAAGGTCACCAAACGACCCTTCGCAGGTTTTGAATTCAGAGTTGTCCTTCTCCTAGACCAGTTGCTATCCAAGGCTATAGAATCCGGCCTGTCTTGCTATTTACCCATAGTGGAGGGAGATAGATAAAAAAATCTTTACACCTGGGTCTCTTTGCAGTTTTGCACACGTCAGTATCTTTTTTAGTGATTTCGTTTGTCATTTGCTTTTTTATTTTGTAATAGGTTTTTCATTTTCTTTGTCTTTTTCTAACAATTTCACTTTTTCCCTATATATATATATATATATATATATATATATATAATGGACTCTCCCGTCGGTTTCGACGTATGAGGATTTGACAGCTTAATTTTTTCATTTATGACGTTTTGAGCGATAATCTTATATATATAATGGACGCTTTTTTCGGTGGTTTTGTAGTCGCAGAATGGGAAGATATTCAAAATTTGACAGATCTAGTCCTCCACATTCTTCTTTATGCTGTCTAAGAGGCATTTTTTTTTGGGGGGGTGAGGATCCCTAATTTGTTGACGATGAACTGTAATCATTTTTCAGAGTGTCTGGTCGGTTTGTGTTATGGGACCTTACCCATAATAACATAATGGACTATTCCATACGTAATAATTACTACGACCCAAGAGGAAGCGGAAGTGCAGTTTGAAGTCTGAAGTGAGGTCCGTCAGAAGTCCGTCCGTCAGTCAGAGGCAGTCCGAAACAGAGTAG